GGAGGGACTTAGTGTAGGGGGTTCCAGGTGTGGGTTGAGAGGGTTCCGTGTGGGGCAATCTGGGTGCAGGTGACTCAATGGGGGATCCAGGTGCAGGCGGAATCTGGATACACAGGGGCTTGTTGGGGGTACTGGGTGCAACGATAATGGGACTCTGCAGGGGGATCCAGCTTCACCAGGCTCAATGTGGGGGTCTGGATGTGGGGGGGGGGGATAGAGCTTGGCAGGGGGGTCTAGCTGTGGGGGGCTCAGTGGGGGAATCCAGATGCTGGGTGAGTAAGGCTCAGTGGGGTGGGGATCCAGGTGCATGTGGCTTGTCGGGGTGGTCCAGGTGCAGGGGGAGTGGGGCTCATTGGGAGGGTTCTGAGTGCAGGTTGGTGAGGATTGGCAGGAGGGTCTGGGAATGAGGGGGTCTGTATGCAAGGGGGTAGGATGGATGTGGGAGCAGCTCCCTATACAGGGATCCCTCCCCCTGCAGCTGAGGAGCGATGGGTGCGGGAAGCAGGGGTGGTGGAAGGAGTTTGCAGAGATTCCTGCAGCTGGGGGAGAAATCTCGGATGCCGTGCAGGGGAAGAGGAAGTCCCGTCCTCCCCAGCCCAGCCAGAACAAGCAGCTGAGCTCAGCGCACGGTAGGGAGCCTGGTCTCCCCCAGTCCTGCCCCCTGCCCCACAGTGATTTACCTCTCTGCCGGCTGCCCTGGGCATCCGAAACACTGCTGGGGAGGGTTGCATGACTGCACTTGTGGCTTCCCTGTCAGAAAGTAATTTTTCTGCGGGTGACATAAATTCTCTACATGTGCCGTGGCACAGAATTCCCTCAGGAGTAATGTCTGCCTGTTTTGTTTTTCTTTCAAGATGTATTGCTACTCTTAAATTTTTAAGTAATTAAAGATGGCCAGTTTATGATTGTAAGGCAAGCAAATATATGTTGTAGCCCATAGAGCTATGTAGCCTGGTTGCTTGCTTTTATTATATCCTTTCTTATGTGTGTGTTTGTTATAATAGATTTATAGCTTTGTATTAGCATATTTTTGGCAGTAATGCAAAAAACCTACCAGCCACATACTGTATGATGAGCTAAAGCATGTTAGCATACATGTTTGTGATCTTTAGCATACACAAGTGACCTACTGATTTGCCCTCTATAAAACTTAACAGCTACACTACAAAGAACCTGGAAATCACCACCACGAAACCAGTTCAGGCCAGAAAAAGCAGATGTGAGAATGAGCTGATTGTCATCAATGTGTATGAATATGCCAGCCTATAGAGTAAGCACACCCTGATATTATGTGGGTGAGGAAATTGTCTGGACATGGAAGGTTGGGAATGTGGTGCTAGGCTCTATAAGAGGGGCAACCACCATGTTTGTTTAGTTTAGTTAGTTTTTTCTTGGGTCTTTCTTGGCTTTGTTTCTGGCTTTCTAGCATCTCCTAAGTTTTTCGGCTTCCAGTCGAGCATTGAGGAACCATCAGACTCTTGTTTGGCATGCCAAAGACATGGCTGGTTCTTTGTCTCTTACCACCAGGTTCTCAAGGAAGAGTGTGATTATGTTTATCTAGGAAGTTTTATAGTAAATGATACCACATGAACTTCTAGAATAGTACTATTTCCTTTTTCATTCTGGTTGATTACTTTTTCATTTGATTACTAGTCCATTTATATCAATAAAAGTCTTTAAGGCTGTATTTTGTTCTCAGCATGAGTGTCCTTGTCATACATCCCCAGGGACCTTGCAAGACTCTGTGTAGCCCGATTCTGGGACAAGAACCTTATTATCTTCTGATCAGATCAATTGGCTAGACTATAACCTTTATTATATGAACAATAATATTAATCACCTTAAAATCAGGCAACAATGTTCTGCCATGAAGTATACATGAATAACTCATTAATGCAGACATTTAGTTTTTTCATGCTAAGATTTACACTGGAACAACATTTTATGCTAATTTTCAAGATCCTGCTAGTACACATTTTCATAACCTCTTACTGAAGCTGCAGATACATACATTAGCAAACCTGTCACTACTGGTCTCTCTCCTGAGTGGCTGGCCTGAATCTATTTCTAAAGAACAGCCCGTTTTTCTATTGGTATAAAATGCATTTGAGTTAGGAGACTGCCTTTTCTAGCATGTGCTATGGCAGCAATCGAGATCAGCTGGGATGAATAAGATGATATTCTGGCCTACACTTAAATATCAGAGGGTTTGTGGCAGAGCACTTTTGATGAAGGGTCCTTGTCTCTTGAACACGTTTCCCTTAATGTTCCAGGCCTTAGTTCAGCGAGGCAATAAAGGATATACGTAATATTAATCGTGTTTAAAAGTTCATCGTAATTCAGAGACCGTGTTCTCCATAAGATTCTGGAAGCTTTGCAGAACAGGAACTGATTCTGGAAATGTGATGAAGCATGTGTTTAAGTCCCATTGACTTGAATGGAACTTAAATGTGTGCTTAAAGTGAAATAGGTAATAAACATTTGTTAGAGGAAGAAGTTTTATAATGTGAAACTTTTTTTGAGAAATTACCTCTTTTTCAAAAATGACATTGCAAAATCATTTCAATTTATAAACTGAAAAAATTATCTTTAAGGCGGCTATTGTATTTAATATATTTATAAAATTTATACATATATTGGGGGGTAGATACTGGGGAAGGTGAAGATCTTTTAAGATAAATGGCAATATTGGCACAAGAAAAAATGTATATAAACTGGCAACGAACAAATTCAGGCTGGAAATTAAAAGGGTTCTGACCATCGGGTGAATTTCTGGAACAGCCTCCCAATAGGAGATAGTTAATAACTTAATTAGTTTTAATAACTGGACAAATTTATGAATGTGATTGTATGATGGATTTGTTTGTGAGGGTAAGGGGCAGGGTTCATCAGCCTTGGGTCTCACTTCCTATTTGTCTTATGTCCTTAAAAGCTCATACTTCAGGATTTCAGCCAGCCATGTGTATGGGCCAGGAAGGGATTCTCCCTCTCGCCCCCAAGTGTATTCTGTTTTATTTTATTTTATTAAATCTTCTTCTGAAGCACTAGGGATGGCCATAGTTGGAGATAGGACTTTGGACGGAGAGGGTTGGGGCTCTAGGTAGCACCAAACATTCGCTTTCCCAAGTGCTTGGCTGGTCGGTTTTAGCTCATATACTCAAGGTCTATTTGATCACCATATGTAGAGTTGGGAAGAAATTTTCTTCAGATCAGATTGGCAGTGAACTGGGAGGGAGGGATATTTACTTTTTTTTGGCCGGTGTGGGTGCAGGCCACTTGCCAATATTATCTGGGTATATCTTATGTAATTGTTTCCCTGCCATTGCAGAAGCCTTGGGCAATGGTGCCCCATTGGTCCCTCCTATTCTCTGTATGTGAAACATAATAGTTTAGTCTCCTGTGAACTGTAATACTTTGGTCTATTTTCAGTTGTTGGGTTTAGTATGCAGGTGCTCAGAAAGTGTTGGTGTCCGATGACATACAGGAGGTCAGACAAGATGATTTGATGTCTCTTTGGCCTTAAACTCTGATTTAGAAGCATCCTTTTTAAAAAGTGTCTTAACTGGCTTTTGATTTAAATTTTCAACTAAAACATTCCTCTGTCTATATTCTTCCTATAACTGAATACTCTCCCTGCTAAGGTGCCACCTCACCGTTATGTGGATTAGCTCCTTCCAGCTCTGACACCCCCCACCCCTCCTGTTGCTCGTTCTCACCCTGCCACCTGTCCCTCTGTGACTCAAGGTGCTCACTTTGTGGCTTTGTCCTCCAGCCAGGTCACTCTGCTTTTCCCCCTTCCAGGAGTTATCAAAGTCTCTCTATCCAAAATGGTCATTTTCTCCCTCTCTGCCCTGACTATGCCCCGGCCTGCCCTCTACTCTGGATTCCAGCTTGGGGACCTAATCTGCAGTCAAGGTCTGTGAGGTCCCACTTTGCTGCCCTTTCCCTGAGACTTTTGTTATTCCACCTCCATCTTAGGCTTTCATTCTTTAAACCCTTCTTTCAGGGCCTGCAGTCCCTGGGGTTCTACTCACACCTGGGTTTCCTTCCTGCCCTCTCTAAAAACCAGAGTGTGACTACAGGCTCCCTCCCTGCAGTCCTTCTCTGCTGCCAACCTCCTGGCTTTATACTAGCCCTGCCTGTTCCTTCTCAGCTGGGTTCCTTCATCAATCTGTGGTTACTTAGGCTACCTAATTCTCATCAGCTATGACCTGTCCGCTTAATTGGTCCCATCTCGGCCTCATTAACCTTTCCAGACTAGTGTGGGCTGAACACCCCACCACACTTCCCTCCAAAAAAATCTTTTTAAAAAAAAAAAAACAACTTTTGCAGGTCTTGATCACAAAATGGACTAAACCCAGATATGTCATCCGTTAATATTAACAGTTTGAGTCAACTTTTTTAAGTGACTATTGGAAATACAGTAACATTCTTCATAATGAACTTTTTCACATACTATATTGCTGTTGTAATGTACAACAGACATGATGCCTTGAATGACTAGTGACATGTTTACAACTAAATATTGTATCTTGTCAAAATTGTTCGTTTTTGTGTTGCTTAAATTGATATTTAGTTGAGTCCTTGTATATCTCTTGGTAGACTTGTTTTATGGTAGGTCTGATCAAATAAATCTGCATATGGTTAAATGCTGCTTATCTTGATATTAAATATAAACTGTATTATAGTAGAATAAGCAGTAGATTAGTCAGTCTTCAGTTTAATATAGCTAAGCTCATTTTCAGAAAACATTAGCACCTTGAAATATAATGGCCAGCTAGAGTGACGTGGCTGGCTGACAACATTTGCATTTGTTCTCTTCATTGTTGAAATGCACGTTCTTCAATAGATCACAAAAATGTGTGGTGGGCAGCTTTTAAAAACAACTGTGAAATGTAAAAATAGGAAAGTCAGTGATTAAAGTCATTCGTTAGTTATATTAAAAGGTTCGCTGTTGCCCAGAAGTGCCTTAGCTGATAATCTTGCATTTTATCTTTCAGCGTGGATCTGACGAGCTTCTTTCTTCTGGTATCACTAACGGGCCTTTTACCATGAGCAATTCTACTCCAGCTACAGGTATATTTAAGAAAATAATTGTAAAGTTTACCATGGTTTTACAGCTTATCAATGTTAGCACAGTTTCAGGAAATCTGATTTTCCTTATTTCCTTCATACTCTCATGTAACCTTTTTATGAGCAGCCCCCCCAGAGTCTCTTGCAGAGAGAGCAAATTCAGGCCCTTGGGGAGCAAAAGTGCCTAGATTCACTCTGTAGTGGACCCTTCTGGCAGTTTAATGAGTGGTGTTGGATTCTAGAACTAATCTACATAACCCCTCCCCATTAGAACCTGAGGATCCCATTCTGATTGGTGGACATATTCCCTGCTTCCTTGAAACCTGAACAAAGATGTACTACAGAGCAGTGGGACCTACAAATAATCAAAAAGAGATATAGAATTAAATTTAAAAACACCAGAAATTGTTTTGTTCAGCACTCGTGAAGTCACTCAGTTTCATTGATATAATGGACCAAGGATTGCCTCCTCTGAGGAGGCATGATCAAACCAGTAATCTCTGTAGAAATTCTCAGGTACCCATTCTTTATGCTTTCCTCCCATTCCATTGTTAAGAGTGATTCAGAAGATTGAGAGATGAAATCCAGAACAATTCTGATGAGGCAATGCTAGCCGAAGAGGCCTGGTTCTTTGAGACCACCTGCTTCACTGAGCATTCATCTCTTCAGCTTTCGCTTCCAAATGTGGTTGCACGGGTTGTTAGTTTAGTTAGTATGTTTTTATATACATATATAGTATGTAGTGTAGTTATATAGTTTATAATGTAGTTTTTGAAGTTTTACTTAAGTCTGTTTCCTTTATTAGAAAAGACTTTTTTTTCTTCTTTGAGTCTTTCCTCAGTACCAAGGAATGAGATCCAGTGGTGGCGAGCAGGTCTCCAGACTTTAAAATCTGCCCTTTTCTAGGAGAGAGCTATGCCTACCAATGTTGCACATACAAAATGTTTATTTTGTTTAGGGAAGTCTCGTATATCTACTAAGTGTCATTTGTGATTCTTTTTGTAAGCACAGTGCGCGCACACACAGGACTTGTGATGTCCCTTTGAAGTAATATTTGATGTAAAAGACAATGCATATTTCTCTGAATCTAAGAATCCCCCTCAGAAGCAGTCTATTCCTGCTTATAGATTCTAGGACTGGAAGGGACCTTGAGAAGTCATCGAGTCCAGTCCCCTGCCCTCGTGGCAGGACCAAATACTGTCTAGACCATCCCAGATAGACATTTATCTAACCTACTCTTAAATATCTCCAGAGATGGAGATTCCACAACCTCCCTAGGCAGTTTATTCCAGTGTTTAACCACCCTGACAGTTAGGAACTTTTTCCTAATGTCCAACCTTCAAAATTAGTTCCATTGAGTGCTCCAGCTATTAGACACATCACTCTGGGGCTCTAAGAGATTGTCTGACTCTGTGATCTCATGCTTCTACCAAGCACTCTGAGCTTTCCATCAGTCTTCCTTAGTTCGTTCAGTCGGTCTGGCTCCTGCTGCCTGAGGCAGGAGGGAGCAAAAATCTCCAGATGGGGCTTAGCACTGGTACCATTGCTGATAATGACTGAGAAGGCTAAAAGTGCTGACTTGTCTAAGCAGGCTCCTTTGAAATCACATTGGTGTCATGAGTCTTAATAGACTCCGGAATCACGTTCTTCAGCTGCAGTGCTGCATCCTCTATCTTTGGTAACCAACATCGATTCATCTGCACAATTAGCATGAGTGCCATGTACCACAGATTCATTAGTACTGCACCCTGATAAGACCTCTAAGACTTTGGCGATACCTTTTAGTTAATATACCAATACCAATTGTTTGATTCCATTTGACATTCAGTCTTAAAAATGTTCAAGAGATCAAATAACCAATCTTAACCTAATATATTGTCTAAAGACAAACCAGTACAATATGAAAAGGAGATATACATAACTATCTTTAGTGAAGTGAATTCTTGCAGCATGTTCACCTTTCACAGAAGGTATGCTTCGACAGTATGCATTTCACCTAGTAGTATTTATAGTATGATTTTTACAAGTTACAAAACTGCTTAACCCACTAGTTTGTACCAGTTTTGTCCTGGCTTTGTCCTGTTCTTTCCCATATCTCGTTCTGAGTACTACATTTGAAGTGCTGATGAGCCATGAAAGTACTCCCTAACTATACTCTGTACAATGTTTTCATGAGTCTTTGCTTTGACAAGTTTCCTATTTTCTAATGCCAAAACTGACTTCATCTTTGCAAAGTGTTGTGGGACGCTTGACGTGGATAAACAGAACTGTGGGACAGGCATAATACATTCAGTTAACATAACTTCCCAACACTTATTATGTACATAATATCTATTGATGTGGTGTATATTAAACCTAACATATATTGGATAACAGGCACCATTGGTCATAATACACTTGACAAAGATACCATCTTTTTAATCCAGTGAGGCTGCTTTTACATTTCCTACAGACCTGATTATCACTTCAGAACAAGTGTCTCTTTTTCTGGATGTCGCTTCCTTTGTAGGGTGAACTGATTTCTATCAGCAAGCAGGAAACCTTCATTTAAATAATCATTTTAATCTTGTTTTTCATATATAGTTTTTAGTTATTTTCCTAAAAATATTATTTATTCTTATTGGTTAGTAACGATTAAAATAATTTGATATGCAGCTCTATGTAGCATTTACACTTAATTTGGTGGTGGTTCTGGTGGGAGGATATACTATGTAATAGCTTAAATAAATGTGAGTGGATATATTGTAACATACCCTTAGATTCTTAATTTTTACTTTTTATTACATTAGAAAATAGTGAATGACACATTTCTTATTTACCTAGATTACTTCTTTACTTGTCATGTATCAAGCTGCATTTAGATGGAAATTGGACATCAATTAAAAATGCACAAACCAGCATTTTTAAAATGTGTATTAGTTAAATAAAACTACCTTAAATGTGCTGGATTCATGAAGGAAAAAAAAACTTTATCAAAACATGTTTTGTATTTAAGACTCGTTAAACAAAGGAAGTATTTTCTGTAGTTAGTGAACTGAACTGATTGTTTCTGGTCACTGTCCTTCAAGATGTTAGAACTAGTAGTTCTTCTTCGAGTGCTTGCGCATGTCCATTCAACTTAGGTGTGTGTGCTCGCCACATGCACCCGTGCCGGAAGTTTTTCCCTCAGCAGTATCTGTAGGGGACTGGCTCCAGCACCCCCTGCAATGGCGTGCACATGCTGCAGTATATAGCGCACCGATGGTTCCCCCCCACCCTCCAGTTCCTTCTTGCTGCGGTGCTGGAACTGTTGCTGCTCATTCGTACGAACTAGTTATCTCTTGTATTATAGTGTGTATAGTTTTCTGTTGGTGTTTATAAATCCCTTAGCTATAGTTAGAGACTTCGTAGGTCCCGAATGGGACTTTGCCTCAGGACAGTGCATGCCCCAGTCCCCAGGCTTTATGCCCTGTGATCGCTGCAAGAGGCTCATGCCCGTTAGTGATCCACCCAGCAGTTGTCTGCATTGCTTGGATGAAGGGCACATTCATGAAAAGTGCAAAATTTGCAAGTCCTTCAAGCCAAGGACAAAGAAGGATCGCGATATTCGGTTAAGAGCGCTCCTTATGGAGTCGGCCCTCACCCTGTCACCGGAGCAACGCTTCGATCCGGCACCATGACCTTGGTACGCAGCACCCCACTGGGACTGTCCACTAGCCGGCACCGATCCCCATCCGTGGCTCTGACCAAGAAGCCCAAGAAGACGGTGCAAGGTTGGTTTCCAACCTCCTGCAAGGGAAAGGATAAGACTGGGTATGAGCAAAGTCCCACGCCAGGCAACTTCACCCACGTCGGGATTTCGGGCCCAGGCTCCTGTGGAGTGATGAAGCCCAAACTGCTCGCTGCTGGCTACCCTGGATAGCGGCAGAGGCCTCCGTTCGCGCCGCATGCCGTCCATGCCGGAGGCCCTGCAGGTGACGCAGGAGATGCTGTCCCTTCCGGTGCCATCCACACCGGAAGGGACACTACCCCTCCCCGTCCCTCTTCAGGGACCCTTCTCATGGGAGTTTCCTCGCACAGGAAGTAGAGGGCTTACTGCAGCTAGGTGTGGTGGAGGTCGTTTCTCCAGAGTATGGGAACAAGGGGTTCTATTCCAGCTACTTTTTAATCCCAAAGGCCCAGGGCGGTCTGCAACCTATCCTGGACCTGCGAGACTTGAACCGTTTCTGCCTTTGTGGTACCATGTGCACTTCTGATATGGGGCACAATCCTGACCCCCTTGGTCTCTGTGGAACCATCAACATCTTTCCTCCGCCTCTTATTCAGCTGCATCGAGATATAGACTAAAGTTGCCTCCTCTTAAAGAATTTTCTAGGGATGCTCAGCTATCCCATTCAGAGCAGCTTCAGAGTGATGAGTAAGAGTGAGAAAGATGGCCTTGTGGAAGAATTTGTGGACTTAACCTATTCAACTGATGTTGACAATGATATGGACAGTGGAAGCTGTGACTCCATTTTAATAAATCTACGGTCTACTATTTCAGGGCCTTCCAAGACCACCTTAGAAGAGTGGTGGACACTTTAGATTCCCCGAGAGGTCATGTGGGAGAAGTCTAATAAATGACAGTTCAGACACCTATATCCCAGGTTCATTTAGCCATGCCTGTTGAGGGCATTCTTGAGCCTGTCGTGGTCCTGTGGCAGACCACTGCATATGTCTCAAACATCTATATTGGCAAATTGCAGGTACTGAGTAACCCCCCACCCAACCCCAAGAGGTTGAGTACTTTTTTTTACCCACCTGGTCTTTGGATCTTTTGATTGTGACTGCAACTCATGAAGTCTAATATGCCTGGACTCCCTAAATCTACACCCATACATAAGGAGCCGAAGAAGATAGATCTTCTATGAAGGAAAGTTTACTCCTCTGCTAGTTTGCAGGTTCATATTGCCATCTATCAATCCTTGTTGGCTTGCAATGGGACAAGCTTCTACAGAGACCAAAAATGAATTTAAGATAGTGGCTACAGACCACCAGTTGGTGGTGGACCCCATTCTGAGGATCTGTACACCAAAGTGCAGAGAACAGCATTCTCTGAAGAACTTCTACCAGTAAGTTCAGACTGTATTTGGTTGATAAACTTACCTGTCCTAAAGAAGCCAAAGATGTAATCTTGCATATGTCATGTAACTACAAGCTGCCTAATGGACTGAGGCAAACTCTGTTACGTTTTTGGATGGCCATGATTCATAGATTTCCACTATTTAGAGCCATTCCCTGCCTGGGACTTGATTGCTGTACTCCTATCTTTAATGGACCCTCTGTTTGAACCCATGATATGTTCACTATATCACCCCTTTGTTAAAATAGCATTTTTGGTAGCTATTACCTTGGCTCACAGGGTTAGTGAAATTCAGACTTCGATGGCAAGCCTTCTGTACTATGTTTTTCATAAGGACAGGGTTGCATTCAAGCCACATCCAAATGGTTACCAAAAATGGTTTTGTATTTTCATATGAATCAATTTATATACTTCCTGTTTTCCACCCCCTAAAGCTTTTAAATCTCCTGTGGAGGCTAAACTCCACACTCTAGACTTTCTTAAGGCTATGTCCTTTTATCTTGCTAGAGCAAAGCCATTTAACCTATCCTCCAAACTTTGTGGCTTTGGATAAGTCTAAAGAGCAGGCTGTTTCCTCAGACTCTAAATGAGTTAAACTACATTAAGATTTCCTGCTCATTAAATAACTGTCTTTCCTGCTCAAGTTAGGGTACGCTCTACTAGGACTCTGACATCTGTAGCTTGCTTTTGGGAGAAATCCCTATTTCTGAGTTCTGTAGTATGGCCACTTGAAGTTCAGTTCTTATATTTACCAATCACTACTCCATTGTGTCAATTTCTAGATCAGAATCCCAGTTTGGAAAGACTGCCCTAAAGTAGTTATTTAGATAGGATTCCTATCACCCACCTACTGGAGAGGTAATTGCTAGTTATACACCTACAATGGGATCCCTCTGGATGACTCCTCAGAGTCTACTTACTTTACAGTAACAAGTTTTTCAAGATGCCTTTGTTCCTGTGGATCCCATGACTCTCCTTCCTTATTCATTGATATGGAGTTCTTCCCTGGATTTCTGTAGTGGTAAAAGAACTGAATGGTGTCTGCTTCACCCTTAATACCCTTGATGGGGAGGAGGGCGCAGAGGTGTGCAAGGTGCATACACATCTCCAACAGATACTGGTGGCTAAAATATTTCAAGCTTGTGCACACCGACAGTGGGATCCTTGTGGACAAAACATCTTGAACTGCAGTTACCGTAACCTTGAAAAACCTTACTGAATTAAATTTAAATATTTTTGGAGTCCATTGTACTAAATACTAAGGTTATGTATTACTGTGGACTGTGATTGTATGTAACCTCTCTAGGGGGAATATATGATGTGAACCCTGGGAAATGTTATCAACTTCAGAGGGACTGTATTGAGCAGTGTGCCAAACAAGAATGAACTTTTGTGAGAACCTGTGTCAAGTGATTTGCCTGGAGAATCTCTGCTCAAGAGAGGGGACAGCTGGGAACCAAAAGCCTAAAAGTAGGTGCCCTTGGTAGACCATAGAAAGGAATATAGGTACACTTGCCCTCAACTGTGACAGTGATAATATGGGGGGGAAAGTTTTTTGTAGTTACAGCTTCTTCCTTCAGATTACAATGTGGTAGAGTCTGGTTCCTTATTATGCAACGGGATATAATTAAAAGCACAAAAAATGTACTTTTGCCAGCATTCACAACAGACATCCTGAGGTTTCTGATAAGAGCTTTCTAACCTATGTGTCACTTAGATGGAAACTGCCAACTTACAAATCACTCTTCTGAAATTTTATCTACTTGTAACACAAGATTAGAGAATAAAATGTTTCTTATTTATAGGTGCATTTGACCACACTTTCTGTATAGTCAGTTTCCTGTTTTTTAACCAAGAATATGGATGAGAATTTTTTACATTTGTTTATATTCGTACCCACAGTTTAACTAGTTGCTTTAGTCACACTAGACCCATCCTATCATAATGATTTTATAATCAAGCAATATAAGCAACAGAAAAAGGGTGATGGAGAAGAATAGAACACAGAGTAAATTTTTATTTATCAGCTATCTCCAACTGCCTTTCAATGTATGATTAGTTGGTTAACTTCTTGTACATGACATGGTACACATGGACCTTGAAGACGGACTTGGAGGAGAGGGTCATGGCCTGGTGGCTCTAAAACCACACAAGTTTGCAGAGGAAATCGTGAGCAGATGTTGTATTTTTAACTACTTTTGATGTTTTTAATTGAGTAGATTATAGATTGAGTCTCTTTTAATATTGATAACTACTGATGGTGATCACCTTTAATACTAGTAAAGGAAACAAACCATCTGACTACTTTTTCAGAATTATGCATTTTGTAGTAATTGTTCTTTCTCTAATATTCTAGCTAATGGGAATGACAACAAGAAATTTAAAGGAGACCGATCTCCCTGCTCCCCTTCTCGTGTCCTTCATCTTCGTAAAATTCCAAATGATGTCACTGAAGCAGAGGTCATTTCATTAGGTCTCCCTTTTGGCAAAGTAACCAATCTCTTGATGTTGAAAGGAAAAAGCCAGGTGTGTAGTTATTTGCATGAGTAAAATACAAGAGAACACTACTTATATACAAGTTTACCTCTTAGATATTGCAATTTGGCTGAAATATTGTAGGGCCAATTATTATTTTATAGATTATTCAAGACTTTAGCACATCAGTTGTAAAACATTTTTAAATAATGCAGTGGTATTGATCATAAAATCTGTGTAAATGCCCAACATAATATGCCATTCTTTATATTATTGGAAGAGATGAAATAGAATAATCCTATTACTTAATGTTCAGCATGCTGAGTAATGCGTTTTGTCTGTCTTGTTGTACAAGAGTACTGATGCTGACAGCTGTTCTCAGACATCCTGCTGAGGATAGAGAACTATGGTTACCTACTTTTTATTTAAAGAAAAACCTAACTGTTTTTTGCTTAACTAAGTAAACATAAGCTTTACCCTGAATAAACAGTGAAATCTTTATTTTTTTTAAATGAAGCCCAGTGTTTTAGGCATTTGTTTTGGTGTTGTCATTTGACACTAACCAGCTTCCAGTTTGTGCACAATCGTACTGCTTAACTGAGTACATATATTCTCATGTTTGGATGATTGGGTAGTTGGGGACAGCACTGGGTTCCAGGAATGTATCAAACTCATTACCAGGGTGCTGTAGTCACTAAAGTTCAATATAACTATCCCTGCCACATGTTCGTGCTTGCAAGACAGTGTATTAATCTCTTGGTTGATGTAATGCATTCATTTTATGTCACAACCACCATGATGTGGAGCCTACAGATTTACTAAGTGGGTAAAGTAAGACTGTTTTTTCAACATACTTGATTTTACAAAGTTTAATATTATATACAAAATAACAAATTCTTGCAAAATAGTGATACAAAAATGTACGTGTCCTTGTGCCTTTTGGCAGTCTACAGGTCCTAATGAAGTTCTGTGGTAGGTATGATGACATTAGCATAGTGAACATTGAGCATTATGGTTTAAAAAACCCCCACAAAAACAAAAAACCAAAACCAAATGTGAAATGGGAGGCAATTCTGAATTTGGGACCTAAAAAGTGATACAGGAAATTTTGCGTCTTCCATTGGGTGTTGAGAGCATTCCATACATCATATGTTTAGTGCCTCTATGGAAACCTGATCTGGTTGTGGGCTCTTTTACTGTAATACAAATTTTAAAAGGATTTGAGGTTAACTCTAAAGTAATTGCAAGTCTCAAAAGTATTTTGAAAAACATAAATCGTAAATAGTATTTTGTTTTTAAATACTGAGCAAATCACATCTGTACTTTTAGTTCACATGAGTTTTTCAGATAAGGTGGATTTGGTGGATAAATGATTTCTTCAGTCTGTTATGCAAACAGAAAAACATTGAAAATTGCAATATTTCTGTTGATTTTAGGCTTTCTTGGAAATGGCTTCCGAAGAAGCTGCTGTCACTATGGTGAACTACTACACTCCTGTTACACCTCACCTCCGCAGTCAGCCTGTTTATATTCAGTATTCCAATCACAGAGAACTGAAGACTGACAATCTGCCTAATCAGGCTGTAAGTATAATACTTCCATTTTAAAAAATGAATACAATTGTACATTACTGAACATTAAATTAATGAACTGCTTTCTGTCAGTGTAAAATGAGTAGTCAGCTTTGACAGGATATTACTTCATCCAATCATAAATTAGAGTGTAAGTTCTCTTAGGCAGGGACTTGTCATCTTCCATGTCTGTAAATTGCTATTGCACATTAAAAGCTCTTTATATACAAAAAGGCAATTACAGGCCAGCGAGCTTAACTTCAGGACCAGGCAAACTGGGTGAAACTGTAGTAAAGAACAAAATTTTCAGACACATAGATAAAATATATTTGAAGAGTCAACACAGCTTTTGTAAAGGGAAATCATGCCTCACAAATTATTACAATTCTATGACTGAGTCAACAAGTATGTGGACAAGATACTCCTGGGAGGATTCTGTGCCAAACAATTAAATTCTGCCCCAAAAATTTTAAAATTCTGCAAATTTTGTGTCAAAATAATGCAATATAATAATGCAGTTTCAATTGTTTTGGTAAGTTATTTAAACTATAAAACAGAAAAAAGTCACTAACTATTCAGCATTTCCTAAACACATTAAAGTTAAATTACAAATACTTGGTAACTAATACCCTGCATTTCAGTTACAATCCTTGATTTTCATTTAAATTACATTACAGAACACCGAACAGCAAAAAAAAAAAAAAAGTGGAATTTCACACATGAAAGTCATACAGTTTTGCTAATCATTGTCCTCGACCTGGCTGGGTATTTTGAGAAGTGCTTGGTTCTGATTGTCCTGACATTTTATTGACTGCTTGGTAATTGTTTTATTTGCCCACAAAGACTTTTTTTTTTTTAATGGGTAAGTAAAAATCTAACCCCATTGTGCCACTTTAGCACAGAAAAAAAGTGAGAAAGCCCATAGCTCTTATTAGCTGATTCCCTTACTGTCATTTATAAGGCTTTACATCACTCCAGCAATGTAGGGGCCTTAAAACTTTACAGATTTAATGTTCCTGGGGGAATTGACTGAGAATGGGGACAGTTAACTAGCAATAGGATCATTAACAATGTTACTATGCAGACAAGCTGCTACATTTCTGTCTCCAGAGAATGAGATCGATTAACCAGCAACATTTTGTTAATGTGGGTGGTTTTTTGTTTTTGTTTTTACAAAAGCTATTTTCTTTAACTTAAAAACAAACAATTTTCAGTAACCTGATACTAATTTAATTACCATATATACTTGTTCATTAGCCAGTTCATTTATAAGCCCATCCCCCAAAATGGATAGGTAAAAATAGCAAAAACTGTATGACCCTTTCATAAGCTGATGCTATATTTCAGGGGTTGGAAAACTTTGGCTCCCGGACCGTCAGGGTAAGCCGCTGGCACGTCGGGATATTTTGTTTACTTGGAGCGTCTGCAGGCATGGAGCCCCCCAGCTCTCTGTGGCCGTGGTTCGCCGTTCCCAGCCAATGCACCAGTTCCCATTGGCTGGGAACGGCAAACCGCGGCCACAGGGAGCTGAGGGGCTCCATGCCTGCGGACGCTCCAGGTAAACAGAATGACAATGCATTACGGTAAGTGTTTGTTTCAATTCTCAAGAAGTTAGACATTTTACTAGGCAGGCAGACTGCTACATTTCTGCCTCGGGGACAGAGCCTTCCTCCTGCATAACAAAAAGACCTATCCTCCTCCACGCCCCTCGAGCCACAGTATGACACGAGTTTGTTGGCCAGCCCTGCCCCCTGACGGTGATCGACATCTCCCCCGCAGGCACGCCCACCCAGTCCCCCTCCCCCAAACTGGAACAGCCTGGGCAGCCAGGAAAGAGATGCATGTCCCTCGCCCCCGATTTCTTTTGTGTTTTTCTGCACGGGGGGCACAAAAATATGCAGTATTCTGCTGTGTGTGCATTTCCTGATGTATCAATTTTTTCTGTAAGGAAGACATTCCCTTCTTCTGTTGTCACGCAAGCAGATACAACAGGATCATTGTGGACATTGTTCCACCCATCAAGACTCAGGTTAACAATTTTACCCTCTAGACCAGTGGTGCCCAACCTTTTTGTGTAGCGGGCACCAGACGACTAGCCACCAAGGACTGTGGCTGCCGGACAAGCAGCCGCCGAAATGCCGCCGAGAAGCGGCAACATGAAGTATTGCCGCCAAAATGCTGCCGAGAAGTAGTGTCATCAAGAGGCGTCGCTGCCGAAATGCTGCCGAAAATCAGTGGCATTTCGGCGGTGACGCTTCTTGGCGGCATTTCGGCGGTTGCTTGTCCGGTGGCCAGTGGGCAGGTGCACATAGATGCCCTGGCGGGCGCCGTGGCACCTGCAGGCACCGTGTTGGGGACCCCTGCTCTAGACCTTTTGCACACTGCTCAATTTCTCTTTCAAACACGTTTTATCCAGCAATTTGCCTGCGACATCTGCTCTGTTGTGTGGACTGTATCCTGGTCTTAATGACTGAACCACGTTAATGAAGTGTGGGTTCTCAATCATACCGAAAGGAGAGTTTGTTGCATAAAAGGAAGATCTGCCTATTTCAGCTATTTATTTTTTATCACAACTGCATTAAAATGAAAGTACCATAGAGTAACAACTATATTTTTTTGCTCAAAAATGAGAATTCAAGAATAGTCCAGAAGGAAGACAGGCAGTCCTTAAGAAAGAAGTATGAAATAAAAAAGTTTACCAACCTGAAGATCCTGCATGTTCAGACATGTTCCTTTCATCATCTTCAACGCAGCTTCCTCCTGAGAAGGAACACTTCTCATGATGTTGTTTCATTCGGGCAACCTGGTCTTGCATTTCTTTATTGCAGTGTTTGAATTTTGCACGCATGCCTGTCTTACCCACAGGTAGAGGAACTTCATTAAAATATTCCGAAACTGGGTCTCTTTTCCGGCCTGCTGCTATTCTAGGTTTTCCCTTCTAGTGAGAGAATGGTATGGTAGATCTCAAATCAATGCAGGCTACACTCAGAAAGACCTCAAGACTTCTGGAATATGCTGCTCAAACAGTGTCACTTTTGTTTCTACTGCCTGTCCCTCCGTTCTTACATTTATCTCCAGACTTCTTCTCCTTGTCCAGATCTATTCCGTCCCCAACAATCTTCTGTTCATTGAACTTTCTGAAACTTTGTACTTTTAGAGAGAAGTAAGGGATTGGCTCTGTGTACACAAATTTGCAGAGGGACGATAGGGTTAAGGTCTGTTGTTTCTCTCCTCTATTTTATTTTATTTTATTTTATTTTATTTTATTTTATTTTATTTTATTTTATTTATTTATAAACATTTTTGCTGTTAACAAGCCTGTTATCTCTGGTGACACAAATCCACAGTTTGAGAACTGCAAAACTAAGCATCTTTGATGGTATCTTCTAAGATTAACCTAAATAATCTATACAGATGCCCCTGGAATCCCATAAGAATGGGTCCCTAATATATGAACTATTGGAACTCGTTTACAAAACTTTTCCTAAACATTACATGACTATATCGTGTCATCTATAGAATTAGAATTTATAATCCCTATTCCATGATGAGATATCTTTGAGCTATAATGTATCTTAATGAAAACTATCTTTAGATAGGTTTTTTCCTCAAAAAGCATTTTATCAAATAAATCTTAATTTAAATAAAATCAGGGTGTTTTTTTTTAATTTTTTAAAAACCACTGATTTTTATCCACCCTGAAATGAAGCAATGATTGGACAAGAGGGAATGTCTTCTCCTGGATCAGTAACTGTGTAAAAGATAGGAAACAAAACATAGGAATAAATGGTCAATGTTCACAATCAAAAGAGTTAAGTAGCAGGGTCCCCCAAGGATCTGTACTGGGACCAGTGCTGGTCAACATATTCATAAATTATCTGGGAAAAGAGATGTTCAGTGAGGTGGCAAAATTTGCAGATGATAAAAAAATTACTAATTAAGTCTAGAGCTGACTTTGAAAAGTTACAAAGGAATCTAATTAAACTGGATGACTGGGCAACAAAATGGCGGATGAAATTCAGTGTTAAGTGCAAATGAATGTACATTGGAAAAAGTTATCTCAACTATACATACAAAATTATGGGGTCTAAATGAACTGTTACCACTCAAGAAAGAGATCTTGTAGTCTTTGTGGATAATTCCCTGAAAACATCCACTCAGTGTGCAGCAGTAGTTTTAAAAAAAAAATGATAAAGTTAGGAACCATTAGGAAAGAGATAATTAAATAGAAAATATAATGCCACTATATAAAGCCGCAGTATTCCCACACCTTGAATACTGTATGGAGTTCTGGTCACGCCATCTCAAAAAGGGTTTTTAGAATTGGAAAAGGTACAGAGAAGGGCAACAAAAATGATTAGGGGTATAGAACAGCTTTCATATGAGGAAAGATTAAAAAGACTGGGTTTATTCAGCTTAGAAAAGAGACGACTAAGGGAAGATATGATAGAAGTCTATAAAATCATGGATGGGATGGAGAAAGTGAATAGGGAAATGTTATTTTACCCCCTTCACCTAACACAAGAACTAGGGGTCACTTGATGAAATTAATAGACAGCAGGTTTAAAACAAACAAAAGGAAGTACTTCACACAACACACAGTCAACCTGTGGAATTCATTGTCATGGGATGTTGTTAAGGCCAAAAATAGAACTGGGTTCAAAAAAGAATTGGAGAGTTGTAACAGCCGTTTACCCTGCTTGTATAGAGGAGCCAGCAGAAAAGGCGATGGCTAGCTCTGTCAGCTAATTGTGTGCTAGTTTTTCCCAGTCTGAGAAAAGAAGCAGTAAACTCTACATGGGAACCTTTGAAATGTTTCAGGGCAGGCTTCTCCTGTACTATTCTTTTACAGCTCCTCGGCAAACAATTCTTTAACTCTAGCATTTTTTCAAAGGATCTCATGAAGCTTTCCAGTGTAGAGATAGGAATAGAGTCTCTTGCCAAGACATTCACCCCCCTTGAACTTATCTTTTTACATAAAGATCAGATAGACTGTGGCTGCTGTCTTTGAA